ATACCAACGTAATGCTATTCTTATAGGTGTTGTTAAACAAGATGTAAATAAATCAGCTGGTAATTCAGGATTCATAGGTAAAAGTTCATTTTCACTACAAGCACCAAGTAAAATATCATGTATAGGTGAAGATGTAGGAAGAAGTGGTGCTATTTGTGCTGCTGGATGAACATTCGTCGAAGAAGAAGGAAAAGAAGTTTGTGCTAAATTTCGTCGAGCTTCGTCAAGTTCTTTATCAATTTGTTCAGCAAATTTAACAAATAAATTAAGAACAACACCGGCATGAGAACAATCAAATACATAAATTGATGGTGAACTCATCCATTTTTGTAAATCATATAGAGATAATGGTATATATTGTGTAAAATTTTTATTAAATACCCAAATTTCTCCATTAGCTGTAGGACGTGGTACACCATGACCATTATAATGAAATAGAATACGTTCCTCCTATAGAAAGAAAATGGCATAAAAGTCTATTCATGAAATTTTTTGTTTTTATTCGAAAATCGTCACTAATTGTTTTAGTATCATTCCGCTATTTTTGAAACATGCTAGTGAAAAACTTTTTTCTCGCAGATCAAATGAAGCTATTGAAGCAAGTAGATGGGAATTCTGCTAACAATGTGCGCTCTATGAATGCATTTCGAGGCCTACCAATGTAAAAAAAACAGTAACAAAAAAAAAGTTGAATATTAATAACATAGAATAAAGTAACTTTTTCTATTATTTTTCACTTTTTAAAGTATTTCGGATACTTGTTTCACTGTAAGAAGTACTTGATAATACCTTCCTATCTCATGAATCATATAAAGTACTTTGTAGGACTTTCGAAAGTAATAAAAAGTACTTTTTACTTATAAGTATATTTAAAGTCGCTCACTTAAAAAGGTTCACTTATAAGTACTTTTTCCACTTTGTGAAAAAAATATTAAAAGTACTTAATAGTAACTTTTTTGGATCACAACTTTTACATGGATATTGCACGAACTTTCCGAATAACCTGATAATGAATTAGTCAATCTTTTAATTGGTCCAAATGTCGCATGATAAGAGTGCACTGTCATATCAAAAAGTTGGCAATGATTTTATACTTATAATCTTTTCAACGTAATAGCATTTCAATCATAGAAAAAAAAACTAATGCTATGTATTTCAAAATATAATGTGCTTCACTGTATTTTGAATAACTTTTGATAGGAACATCATAGAGACATGCATTGAAGAGAGAAGCCTCGGGGATCATTTGAAATAACCAATCAGATGAATTCTTAGTAGAAATTTTCGAAAACAATATTCTGAAGCGATTTGTCTTTCGATCTGTCCAAGGCTGACATTTCTAGCTTGTTTCATTCGAGAGTTACAAGCCTTTTCCTGAGATCTCTGATTTCAACCAATTAATTTGTGATCACCCGAAAAGACAGCTAGGCAGGTATAATTCACTGTGCTGAGTTGAATAGTGATATTTGCTTTTAGGTTCGAACTGATCTGACACCGTTATCTTAATATTTCTGAAATATCAACTCATTCGTTACATATCAAGGCTGATTGTGGAATTTCAGAAATATTGAGATAATACAGTCAGATCAGTTCGAATCTAAAACACAAATATCGCTATTCGACTTGGTACGGTTACTTACCCCTACCTAGCTGCTTTTCTGGGTGATCAGAAGTCAATTGGCTGAAATTGGAAGTTTCAAGAGAAGTTTTATAACTCTCGAATGAAACAAGCTATGAATGTCGGTCTTGTGCAGATCGAAAGAGAAGTAGCTTCAGAATAGCGTTTTCGAAATTCTCCACCAACAATCTACCAGGAGTGGATCCAGGATTTTAGAGAGGTGGTGGCGGTTTCTAAATAATATCACCCGAGGTAGTATGAATTTTTATGGAAATAGATAAAGTAGTGTTGTCCTTTTCTTACAATTCTTTATTTCCGTTTTATACAGTAAATGTATAAATTCATGAGACAAAAAAACCTTTTTTTCAGACAAATTTTAGCAGAAAATCTAGAAAAACCAATTGACGATTAGATTTTCCAAATTCATCAATTCCAACATCAATATTTAGATCTAAATCTCGATAAATATATATCATAGCTAATCCATGAAGTCTTGTTTCCAACATGGTCGAACGTAAATAAGTCTTCAGTAATTTGAGGACAGAGAATGTTTGTTCTATAGTTACTGTTGTCATTAGTAGAATTGTACAGATTTTCAATAAAACTTTCATGTTTGGGTAAAACGCTTCAGGAAAAGCAGCATAGGTATCAATTATTGTATCTGGTAAAAATATTTGTTGTTTACGTTTCATTTTGATTGTAGTTATATTGCTAGTTCTCTTTCTCGTAGAGAAGAGTCTAGCAAGAATAAATTGTTTGCTTGCTTGTGTGTTCGCACTTCACTAATTGGTCCAAGAATAATGTGAAAACAAAAGGAATTAGTTTCCATAAAACTTGACCAAAGGTAATTAAGGGTGTGGAACGCGAATCCGAGAGCAGTTTTAATTAATTAATTATTAATTACTAATTAACTGATTAATAATGATTAATGTTTTTTAAAAAACTTGATGCAAGGTGATTGAATGTGGAGAATCCGAATCCGAGATCAGTTTTAATTAATTAATTATTAACTAATTGTTAATTATTTATGTTTTTCAAAAACTTGACCAAAGGTAGTTAAGGGCGAGGAAGCCGAGGTCAGCCGCACTTTTCTTTTATGACTATTTTTACAAATTTTTTTGTCTAGAAAAATTGATCAAAGGCTATTGAAGGTAAAAAATCGGAATCTATGATTAGTTTCTGTTAACACTATAGCAAGAATAACAAATAGTAAAATTTATGAAGTATTTCTTATAAATGAAAGTGTCTAGAGCTGAGATATCGGCAATAGTTAAATGTGTAAATAGGTATCATGTGTAGAAATAGATGGTTGCGGGTGCTAGAACGTAATAATTGGTAGTTGTCGTTCTCAAGAGAAACTTCAAGTGAAAACCATCTACTTGGCAACAAGGCTCGACGTGGGTGTGAATAATGAGAACATCTGCAGCCACATCCTAGTTTGCTGAGAGATCAGAAACAGCATTTCTACGAGAAAGAGCTGAGCGAGTCCGCAGACGAGCGTAACTTTTTGAAGATTGTAATTGTGTAATCCTTTCATCGTTTTTCTTTTCTCTTTAATTGTAAATTTGTGCATACATAGTTTATTGTACCTTCCTATAGTCATTTCCTGATGATGACAATTGATAATTGTTGAGAGTTCGAAATAAAAATAATAATTTTCATTGAAAATTTACAATGCTTCTTCTTGCAGTGCTTTACTCGATAATAAATCATATTTTTTCGAAGACATCCAAAAGTAACATTAAAGAAGGCAGTTCTAAAAATTTAATTTCTATGGCATATGTTTTACGTATTTCGATCAATATGTATTGAAGAGATTAGATCTTTCTAAGAAAGTATTCAAAGCTATAGATCAAACAATTAGACAAATCTTTTTTAATCGAGATTTTATCTTGATTGTATTTTGAACATTGTAACTTTTTGTTTGTTATAGCTTAATTTTGAAGTATCTTGGAATAAAGCGTCGACGAATGGTAGTTATGACTAATGCCGTTTTTTGCACCTGTCGCTATTACTCACCCGAGAACTTTATTAAACATTTCAAATCGTATTTTAACGATCAAAACTGATATTTGGTTAATTTTTTGTATTGCAAGATATTATTTCTTGAGTTTAAACATTAGAGAAACATTTTAAAAGTTTTCGCCATCACTTCTATTCTTAGGAGAGTGACGATCGCCGGATCGCCAAAATGGTGGATCCGCCACTGGGTCTCTATAGTAGTCCTATCAAAAGTTATTCAAAAAAAAACAATGAAGCACATTATATTTTGAAATGAATAATAGTGATCCTGTAAGATCATTACAATTGCATTGATTAGAAATGTCGATTTGACATTCAATGAAACAGAGCTGAGCATCTTCATGGCAACGAATACTTGGGGACGTCACTGTCAATAGGAAAAAGAATTGATAGTGCCGTCCCCTAGTACTCGTTGCCATGAAGATGCCCAGCTCTACTTTGAATAAAGGCGTTTCTTGAGCTATGAACAAAGAAATAATCCAGAGATTGTTGTAGATATTTAAGAAGACAGTTATCCAGTATTTTCAATTTGTATACATACTCTAGCATTACGTCGTAAAGTCATACATAATTTTTTAATATCTTCTTGTGTTGGGTCAAGACTTGATTTATATCGTGCTTTAGATTGCCATCGTTCATATTGACGTTGTAATTCAGCAGCTATAGTTTCAAGGGCTCGTCGAGGTGTCATAGAAAATGGATCTCAAAAAAAGAAAAAAGAATTAAATAATATTCTATAAAATTTCTAAGAACAACTATTTACCAATCCAACATTCAAGTTTTGAACATGGGCTTGTTTTTGTTACATCTGGTGGATCAACACCTATGTGAAGACACATAACCAATGCAACACTAACTGTTTTCATCTATTTAGAAAGAATAATAATAAAAACAAAAATGCATAGAAATCAATTGAATTTGTTTTTTTTTTTTTTGTGTTTTTGATTATCATACTCGATCACGTAATCGCCATTCAACTTCAACTGAATCAGGAACATTTAAATTTTCATGGTGATGAGCTGTTTGAAATGCTAATGGATTTTTCCAATCTTCGAGTTTTTCAAGTTCACTAGCAGGTGTTACATAAAATGTATCACACATATTTAAATCTAAAGTAGTAGTTGTTCTATTTTCAAAGAAAGTTTATCGATTGAATTCGTATTATGGCTTGTTAATAATGATGATGATAATAATGAACGAAGATTGTACAAATAAGAAATTATCATAATAATTAATCTAAAGTTACATTTTTTTTTCTCTAACTAGAGTTTTTTTTTTCTTTTTTGTTAATATTAATACAAGACAAAAAAAAGAAGATTAACAAACAAATAAATCAAAAAAAAGAAAATATAATAATATTTTAAGATGATGTTGATGTTAATCCTTGTTTTGCTAAGACTTTTAATACTTGAATAATAGCTTCTGGTTTAATATTTAATTTGAGTAATTCAAGAATTATTTTAAACATACGTTCGTCAATTATTATATTCGATAGACGAACTAATTCAAATAATTGACTTTCATCCAATTTTAAAGGTGTAAAATCATTCGACATCTGAAAGACAAACAAACAAACAAATACATATACATAAATTCATGAATAATAATTTTATCTAATATAAACTATTTCTCCATAACGTTGAACTTTAAAAAATAAAAAAGAACACAAAGTTAAGATATTTTCTTAGTGAAAATATCTTAGGAAGCCAGCTTGAAAATCTATCATTCTAGCGGAATAGTTATTGATTTAGTACATCCCTGCATACATATGGGCAATCATGACTTTTTGAGCTTACGGGAGGAGGCGTTCAACTATTCAATCATTTTTAAGTCGAAACTATCTGCATCAATCAGCTATAAATACACAGAAAAGAACACAAGGTATTAGTTTATTGCTGCAGAGATACTTCATTTCGATAGTATGTTTAAATATCATAGTCCTTCTCAAAAACATTGGTTTTCAAACTTTTTTCATAGAGACCAACTTTAACGAAAGCAGTTTATTATGTAAGTTTCAAATCGTTTCATTGTTCCTATGTTAAGATACAGCTATAGTAAAAATGTACCTTTTACATTGCTCATACACTGACAGATTCCATGCTCTTATTTCAAGATACGACCAAACCAAAAGATCTGAAACTTTTACAATAAACTATTCTCGTTAAAGTCTGTCTCTATAAATAAAATTCGAAAATCAGTGTTCTTGATGGATACTATGGCATTGGTCTAAGAGTTCGGTTAAGATGTAGTAATAACCTAAGGGTCCAAACTGGTCTAGACTCAAAAGTGATTAATAAATTACAGGCTAACTTTGTTCGGTTAAATTCATAAAAATCCAATTTCTTTAATTATTCAAACTCAGAAGATCTGCTAAGATCGAATGAATGAACTATAACAAATTTTCTGCAATTCTACTTCATATAATCATAAAACTAAAAACAAAAAGATCATCTTTCGGTTAATTTAATAATCAAAAATTGAAAAGATCACATTTTCTTGGTTAGTATTTTAATCTTCGAAAAAAATAAAATAAAATGAGATAAACATACACATACAAATATATATATATATATATACATATACATTGATCAGTGACAGTACAATAATTTGAATCGAGATAAATAAATAAGACAAGAAAAAATAGATACAGTTTTTCTTTTTTTTTTTTTTTATTTTTGCTTCATATTATTTCACTCGATTAATGGTTCATCTTCAGTTTCATCTTCATTTTCTAATAAACTTTCGACAGTATATTCGTGAATATTTGATTCACGATTACGAATTAATTTCAATAGAAAACTACCGACAAAGATCTACAAAAAAAAATATATATATAATCAGTAATTAAAATCGATGAAAACAAAAATATTCATTAATATTTACAATAAGAAATAACCAACTTAGACAAAAATAAATTGCTCCAAAAAACCAAACTTTATAGAAAAATCGAAGTATAATACGACCCATTACGGTCATTTGACATTCATCTAAAAAAACAAATATTTTTAATAAGATATATTTTAAATTCAATATAAGTTTTACTTGTTGTTACGAATTGCGTACATGATTGAATAATAACCGTTCCGTTCTAAATATATTCAAGATAATTATCTCGATCAAGAAAACATTGAGTTTTTTTTCTTGAGAGTAGCGAATAAATAACTAAAATCTTAATTCTTTACTCGTTCACGTACACGAAGGGTGCCAAGTATTGATAGAAAGAACCTCGGGTTTGGACCCTACTGGGTCTACAAAAATATGGATCCGTAGCTTCCTAATGAATACCTTAAAAAGAGTTCGAACTCTTAGCTTATTACTGCTGAGTTGGTTACATTGTTTGACACGTATCCACAACGTACTGTATGCAAACATTAGCATCAGCAACTTTCGAGATTTTTCTATAAAATTTCGCTTTATATGTTTTATCATCAGATGTAAGAAATTAGACCGAGGACAAGTACCAACCTTTCTGGACTATTGCTCTCTTTTCGTAAAGTTAAAATGTATTAGATACTATCAATATATAAATCTACCGGTTTGAATAAAGACGACTACAAGGATTTGATCCCAGGAGGAAATGTATGCAGGTTTGTAGGGAAAGATTGCCTCTGTCTATTATTAAGTTCTGTTGTGTACTAAAATTTTCGATAAATGGCGCCACATTTATTGTATACAGTCCATATAAATTGAAAGTATAAACCTTTGAGTTTTTGTGTTTTCATTGTCATAAGTTGTTTGTTTATAAACTTATTATATATATATAGAGAGAGAGAGCTCGGAAAGCGCAGAATCTAATGGTATATTTATGTTAAACAATAAATGCAGTTTGAAAATATAGTAACATTTTTTTTTTGTTTTGTAAAATACATTCATATTTATTATTCATTTCAGAAATCAAGAACGGTAAGAACTTTTGAAATATCTTTCGATAGAAACAAGATAGAGATCTGCAGTTCTCATCATTTGAAAGAGAAGATGAATCTGTATTGGATCTCATATTTCAGATGTTCCTGATAACTTTTACTTGAGGCTTTAGTCAAGTCCTTTAAGATGTCGACGCTTCTAGAGAGGCAAAAAAAATGTAGTTTTTCTCAAAGACTACAGTAAAAAGTTAATTTTTTAAAAGACTTGGCTAAAGCTTCCAGGTAAAAGTTATCAGGAACATCTGAAATATGAGATCAGATACAGATTGAACTCCTCTTTCAAACGGTGAGAACCACAAATCTCTATCTTGTTTCTATCGAAAGATATTTCAAAAATTCTTACTCTTCTCGATTTCTGAAATGAATGTATTTTTCAAAACACAAAAATGTTACTATATTTTCAAATACTCTTTTTATACTTCAAACTGTATCTATTGTTTAACATAAATATACCATTAGATGCTGCGTTTTCCGAACTTTCTCCTTATATATAATAAACTTAAAACCAAACAAGTTACGGCAATGAAAACATAAAAACTCAATGGTTATACTTTCAATTTATATGGATTGTATACAGTGAATGTAGCCCCATCTACCTACAAACCTGCATACATCTCCTTCCAGAATCAAATTCTTGTAATCGCCTTTAATAAATCCCGATAGTTCCTCTTCTGATCTCTAATTTTTAATTGAGTCTTTTTATTGACATACATTATTAATTACTGAATAATGTTGATCACCATAAATTGCATATTGAGGAATAAGAAGATAAACAAATACATTAATTGCAACCACAATAAACATTAATAATGAACAAAGCATTAATATAGCTTGTGGTTTAGTTCCTCCACGAGAAAATCGATACATCTTTGAAAATAGAAAACAAAAAAAAGATATAAATAAATGAAACTAAACTTCAAATATATATCTAATCGTTAACATACTCGAATCCAAAAATACCAAATACCAATTTGTTGTAAACCATAAAGAGATGTTAAAATAATATAAACCATTAAACCAGTGAGAAATATATAACTGATTGGATAAAACTTCAAAAAAACAAAGAGATAATTTATTTAACTAAAAAAAAACAAAAACCTATAATTTTATTATCTTACTTTTCCAGTCCATGTTAAAACAATATCAATAGGATTTGGTAATGTTTGATTGCCTTGTGCAAATATTTGTTTAAAATTTATAAAATTAATACATTTATTAATATTACTTAATAAAAGTGAAATAAATATAAGTATAGCAAAGAAAAATAAAAGAGTTCCAAGAATTATTTGTATTGGTCGATATATATAACGACATTTAAAACAAAAACTTTGTCGAATATTTATTATTAATTCTTCATTTCGACATAAAGCTGCATCTTGTTGTTCAAGTTCAGCTAATTTACGTTTTTCACGATCTGGCATTGGAATATGACGTGGATACTAAAGAATAATGATAGACAAAAAAAAGCTATTAGCACACTTCCTGTTAGATTAAAATGTGAAACACAATCTAGTTGCTACTATTAATCACAAGAAAATCATTTTATTCTATCTATTTTGAGACGCATTTTTTTCATCATCCTTTAGAATAAAACTGAATACAGAATAAGACGGTCCTACTGCCCATCCCTATTTTGTATATTTTCTTTATCTTTCTGTCATTTTTATTATCAAATACTTTTTCATTGTTCTACTTTTTTTTTCTATTAATAGTATGCACTATATGTTAAGATAATGATGATAAAAACCCTAAAAATTCATATTTTCTTTTTTTAAATATTTGTTTTCGTGTGATGAGTCATTATTGAAAACTTTAGTTATTGTATTTGAAAATAACTAAACAAACTAGCTATAAGATAACTAATAAGTACTTTGATGATCGAAAATTAAAATAATAATTTTCACTGTCGTGTCATATGCTCAGCAATGTAAGAAAGAAGTAGTTCATATAAGGGATCTCAATAGGACGGACTGAGCTCTGCTCAAATATCATAATGAGATGTGATTAATATACAGTCTGTCATCATTTGTGATGGCCTTGTTGCTAAGATGTCTGTAACAGGATAAGGATTTTATTCACGAGCAAGAGATATACAAGTTTGTAGAGACAGATTTCCTATATCTAATGTTGCATGTATTATGAAATTCTATTTCGCATTACTGAAAAGTCAATAGGTGGCGTCACTTTCGCTACGACTGATCTGGAATGCGTTAAAGGTGGTGCTTTCCTCAGCTGCACTCAATAGAACTTAATTATGCATATATTATTAGATAGAAAAAAGTCTTTCACTACTAGTCTAGATACTTCCCATTTAGGAGTCAAAAATCATCGTGAAAGTTATAGTCGCCTTTCTATCTTAATGCTTCTTTTAGATTGTATTTCACAAAAAAATCTTCTTAGAATTTATTTATATACTCGAGTTTTTAATATTCGTATTTGATTGTGTATATCAGTACGTTGTTCTTCAATAGTTGCTTGTTGTAAACGTGCACTACGTTTACCACGAATTAATGATAATGGACAAGCAATAGAACCATAACCCTACATAAAAATAAAATGATTTTTAAATATTAATTTATTTATAATTATTTACTGTATAGATTGTTAAAAGAAGAAATCCAATAATACTTAAAGTAAATATTGTAAATGAAATTGAATCTTCAATTCCTATAAGATTTTTTGTTTTATTTTAAAAGAAAAAAGAAACTATTGATTAATATTTTTATCATTTACTTGAACTATCAAAATGATCAATTAGATATTTTACATGATCCCATTCACTTGTTGAATTATCTGATGGTAATGTTGCCAATTGAGGAACAAAGATTCTTGAAAGCAAAAACAAAATATATTATTTAAATATGAATATTCAATAAAATTATATACCCAAGTATGATTAAGATAATAAGAAAAATTAAAAAACCAATTGTCCATTTAATTGCTGAACGTATTCGCTAGAAAATAAAATAAATTGATTTATAGGATTTTTTTTGTTTTGTTTTGCATACTTTTGATGTTTCTTCTTGTTCTTCTTTTTCTTCATAATAGAAAAAGAGAAATGGATTAACAATAAAAGCCAAAAGAATGACAAGACCATATAAAACTAGAAAATAAAAATCAATTTTATTTATGTACTTTTTTAAATAGAATATCTAGAATAACAAACAAAGCATTTTCTTTAAAATGAATAACACTACAAATAGAGAAGTTTGCTGGATATATACTTGCAAAAACCTAACATTCACTCAACTAGAAAGAATTTCTATGGCTTAATATACCGAACTTATCTGTTCGATAGTAAATAAGAACATGTAATTGAAGCAAAAGCCATGGTCAAAAATCTGTTAGAAGAACTTCAGCATGATTAAAATATAAAACACAATATGTTTAGAAGACATTTTTTATTTAATTATTCAAAAATGAAATAAGGAAGTGAACCTTTTCCTGTAATAGAAAATCTCCTTGAAGAGGCGATGTGCCAAATACTCCCTCCTCTTAATTGATTTCTTAAAAAATTGGAGCTTTAATTATATTATATGAGCTGAAAATATTGAAAGACTGAGATATGGATGTATTTGGTTGACTACAATACCCAAATTACACACCCAACTATGAATAAGAAGCAAAATCAAAATCAGAGCTGAGCAGCTTTTCTAAAATCTTACTCGAATTCGTTTCAAAATATAAATATTTTTGAATAGAAATCTATAAACAATATCAATAGAAATTTTATAGTATTACTTTTATTTTATTTGTTTTCAACAAATTAAAATATCTTTCATAGCATGAATACATTTTCTTTCAATCAAATGTTTTTCAAAAAATACTCTCTATTCAGATAGTTATACGTGATAAATTACGATTTGTGTATGATTGACCCTAGTGAGCACCGCTTGTGGTAAAGAATTTCGGCCTGATATACCCTATTAAGCCGAACTTCTGGCTTGTTTTCCTATCTTCCGGGAGAATTTAAATAACTCCGTCGTTATAAGCGCTACAGAACTCGGGCTTATTTCAAATTAACGCTAGTCTTTGTGTGCAACTTTTTATTGGACGAAATTTTGAAACTCCATTTCCATTCATTTTTTATGACCATTCTATTGGACATGATGTTCAAAATAAGCATAACAAAAAAATGTTACTTCACAACAGGAAATCCCACTTTTCTTAGTCCAGGAATCAAGTATCAAAAACCCATCCGATGAAAAGTTAGCTCTAACTCAGACCTTTACAACAGAAAAAAAATACATCAATGATACTCCGGACCGAGAGAAAGGTTATTTCAATTTTCTTGCCTAGAAACCATGTTTTGAGAGAAAAGTTTTAGAAATGGATTTTTTTATTCAAATTCAAAATTACAATGGTATATTTGTAATATATTCCAATGGACAGTTTTAAAATACGTAATAGATGAAGGTAGCTAATGCCATCTGACATGCCGGTTAATATAAAAATGTTCTATTCAATGATAAAAACTCAACTTCAATATATTTTTGAAAAATCCGATTTTCTATGGGAAGGTGATTAAGTATTAAATAGCAAAACTTTATTTTAATAGAACTATCAAAACAAAAACAAATAGTTTAATAATAATTAACATACCATAATATCCAACTTCGACATATTTTTGAATATGATCTCGTGTTGTTTGATTTGATGTCCACTCCTTACAAAAAAAAAAAATATTTTTTTAATACTAAATTCTTTATTATTATTTATTTTCTACTTTAAATGTTCCATTTGGATTTTTCATAAATGATACAAGAATAACATCAGTTGGTAATAAACTTGATGTTAATAAAGCAATAATCAATGAAGTTGAACAAACTAATGTAACTAAATAATCTCGATTTCGTTTTTGTTGATAACGTAATGTAAATATAATTGAAAAGAATATTATAAACTAACAAACAAAACAAAAAAAAACCAATTTATCAAAAAAAAAAGGACACTTATTAAATTACATACTAAACCAACAATTGCAAAAGGTAACCAACTACCAAGTGATGCTAAAATCAACATAATTGTTTGAAAGAATCTAAGAAAAAAAAACAACAAGATTATGTAAAGAGACAAGCTTAGACAGTTGAATAAATGTATGCTTTCGTAATCGAACATTGTCTTGATTATATGATGATAATAATAATAATAATAATAATAGTAAAGACAAAGCTTTATCCAGACTTAAAAATGTACATGTATTTTCAAGATAGTCAATTGAACAAATATAAAGACGCAAACAAACATGACAACAGTTGGATCAATACGGATTTAAATTTTTTTTTTATAATGATAATCATCAACTATATAAGGAGGAGAACAATTTGTTCATTCATTCTTTATTCAAACTACAATAATGTACAATCATCATATTCTTTATTTGACTATACTTATATTGTGTCTATTCAATTTCATAGCATCAGCTACTCCTAATTGTCCGGTTGAAGGTATAGAAAAAATTTTAGTATAATTCGATTTGATTATTTATTCTTTTGCTAGCCGATCCAACAACAATTCTTAGTTGTGTTGCTATTGATGCTGTTGGTTTAGTTCAAGCAACAAAAGGTAATATACGAGGATTTTGTACTATGGCTGAACGTTTTATGGAATGTCTTAAAACAAAAACAAGAGGATGTTTTGGTGAAGATGTAAGAAAAACAAAAAAAAAAATTTTTTTTTTTTAATTTGAATGATAACAAAAAAATATCAACGGATAATTTGTAGTTCGTACGTGGATCTCTTTCAGAATTAATTGAACTTTCACAAAAATGTTGTGTAAATAAAGAGGAAAAGGTGAATGAAGAATGTCCATTTATTAGTAAGTTTTGTTTTTCTTCTTATTTAATAATTCAAAAAAGAAAAAATTTTATTTTATATTTTAGCAAAACCAAATTGTTTTTCTTTAACTGATATGGCAAAAACTTCCATGGGTACTGAAATTCTTATTAAAGATCTTAAAATAGGCGATCAAGTACTTGCTATTGATTATAATGATCAAATAGTTTCAACAGAAATTATTTCATTTTTACATTATGAAAATAATTCTCAAAGTAAAAATAAAAAATTTATTTATTTAAAAATTTCTTTTTTTTTTTTTTTAGCTTTTTTTTATACATTTACAACTGAAACAGGTCATCATATATCTTTAACATCAGATCATCTTATATTTATTGGAAATGGTACATATATTCAAGCACGTTATGTTAATCCTAAATTACATAATCTTTATGTTATTGGAAATAATGGTCATTTACAATCATCATCTATTCGTTCAATTGATGTTCAACTCAAACAAGGCTATGCAACACCTATAACTCAATATGGAACCTTGATTGTTAATAATGTTAGTTCATCATGTTATTCATCTATTTATCATCATAATTTAGGACATATGGCTATGGCACCTTTACGTTTAGTTCATCATGCTAAACAAATATTTGGTATTGTTAATAAAAATGAAATACCTAAAAATGGTATTCATTGGTATCCAAAAGCATTAAATAATTTTCTTCATATGCTTGGACCTTTAGCAAATATATTTACAACAACTATGGGACAAATTTAAGAAACAACGATATAAAATTTATGTTTAATATCAATTAAAAATAAAAACTTCTTTTTTGTTTTTTAGAAAAATAAATAAATAAAACATTTTTAGTTCGAAAATATGCAATATCATAAAGAAAAAAAAAAAAACTACTATGATATTTTTTTACTCACCGAAGATTTTTGCTTTGTAAAAATTTATATACTGTTTGTTTTGTTTTTTTTTTTTCATATGTCCAACATGACTCTAAGTCATAAACAATCTATGTATATTAACCAATCATAACAAATTCTGAATAGATGACGCTCTCGTAATCATCCATGTAGGATGAAGAAATATATTTTCATTCGTTTGTACTTTTTGTCTATGTTTATTCTTGATTTTTTACCAAAGAGAAACAAATATCTTACTTTTTCTACACGCACATGGCGTTCTCTGAGGAAAAAACAAACATTTTGTTTTTTGATCTTCTTGTTATCATAAAATAATAAGAAAAAAGAACAACAAAAGACGTTTTTCTGACTTTTTTCGCCAACAATATTCCAGAGACTATCGATGAAACGTATTGACTTCCATTAATGATTGTGCTAACAATGGCAGACAGGAATCCGGGAACACATTATCTCGTTTGACTCAATATTTCTCTTGATGACACACAATCTTGGGATGCTCGAGAAATGATAATCTTTAATTAATCATATTGATACATTCAATGATCTGGATTCATGTGAAGAATATTTTCGATTGTAGCAAACTATACTCATTCTAGACAAAAAAGAAAGATGGGACTACTAAGCATGACAAAACTCAAAGGTTTCTATCACAAAATTTTCGACTATGCAGAAGTGTTCAGTCGATGAATTTTGTAACCGATCGTTTGCTATTCTCACATCAACACTCTTTTGATTCAATCTAAATCATTAATTTTGTGTAAACATTAAACACTGATAACAATAATCTTTGTTTTTGAATGTTAGCATTTGTGAATGGTTTGTTTGTTTACAAAAAGAAAAATATTAATTTCTTCTATCGAATGAGATCTTCAAGAGCCGATCTCGAGTCTCTATTCAAGACGATGAACATGAATCTATCGTCATGGAGCACGAAGTCATTCGATCGGTGTTAAGTTTACATCGAATTAGGAACAGTTAAGATGTATGCGAGAATGTCAGGAAAATCGATTTGATTCAATCAAAGCCGAAGGACAAGACGTAGTCGATCACTATGTAATGATGATCGAATCGATGCTGGCATTTGACTACAAGTGTTCATCGATTCGATATCATTTTAATGTTGTTCGAAAGTCGACGAAGTGAATTGTCGAAGCACACCAAGATCATTTTCGTAATGATTTTATTGTTTTTTTGATCGATCAAAATAGATTTTAATAAATACATGAATGATATTTTTCAAATAGAAATCTTTTAGTACGAACGTATGCTTATTTATTCGTTGGACAATCAAAAAGAAACGACCTTAATCATCATTTATTAATAATCTTGGAAAAAAACGAACTCTGTTGACTTTCTTTGTTGTTTATGATCAACTTGCATGAACAACTCATCAGATTTTGACATTCATTTTAAATGTCAATCACCAATACATTTTTAAAAATGTCATTTTATTGACATATCCAACGTTGATTTACTGCTGTAATGCTGAATTCCAATCATCTACTGAGAAGTAAGTGCTCTCATGTCGCACGTTTGTTCGCACTACCGATGGCAGTGCTTACAACTTTTGGTTTCGGTTATCAACGATTACAGAGTATTTTCTATCCAAATTCGAATTATTTATTAGAAAGCATTCAAATTAACCTGGCACAGGCGGCTCATACACATCAACATTATCCTAGTGCACCGAAAAACGATTCAATTCTGTCAATTTTAACAGACTTAAAAATGATTCATCGGTTTTAGTACAATACTTTCAAAATAAAAATGCCGACATAGTGCATATTACACCAATCAGTATACTAGTGGTAGTTTTTCAGTGATTATCATATAGGAAGTTCAATGATGCCATTAAACCGTTCTTAATTAATATAAATGATTAAGTAAAATTACCAGAACATGACATTAATCAAGTTGTATTCAAAGACAAAATAGTTCACCCATAAAAAACTGTGATTCTACCATAAATTTGTCGAAATTTTTGAATTTGATTTCTCCATTCATGAGTTGTCTATGTCAATAAGGTAGTAAAATTTAAAGAAAACATCGCTGTATACTCATTAAAAGTTGACAGTCCTAAACCAATAGAATCAAGCTTGAAAATTTCAACAAATCAGTTATAGACTCGGATTCTTCATTCCTGAAAACCATTGATCAAGTTTTATAAAATCTTGTTACTTTTTCAAAATATGCTTTTCCTGATCGAAAAACCTATAATAAGACGAATCCGCTATCTTAATCACCGATTTACTTCAGTTTTCTGATTATTCAGAACAGTAAAACTTACACAATGCATTCTACTGATTAATTAGTTATTTATTGTATAGTATCGACTCATCCTGTTTATCAACATTATATATAACTATTTATTCTAAATATATGGTACATTTTCAATTATATATATGTTAGATAGATCAGACTTTGAATTTGATTAAAAATGCTTTTGTTAGATATTTTTTTGCAATGATTGAGTTGATAGATGTTTTTGATTGTCTTACAATATTTTCTTGAATAAGTTGAATTTCGCTATAAGACAAAATGGTTTAAATTCAGTATTTAGTATCCATACGTTGTAGGCCTGTTTGAGATCATGATTATTTGAATAGAAAACTACTTGTGCCAAGATAGGAATCGAGAAATAATCGCCAGTATTGAGCTGTAACGCTACCGACTTCAATCTTTTGTTGCTGCATTTCGACATAAGCGATCGTTCCAGCGGTTATCCAGTTGGTATCATCATGTGAATATTGCAAAGTGCCACCATTACCATTTGCTGGATTCCACTTAGTTGGATTTTTATGCAATGGTGCAATTGTTACACTTGTTACCGGAACAGGATATGGAAATGTAGCTTTAATCCATTCACCACGACGCATCAACGCAGTTGCAGCACCTGTTGTAAACTGACCATCTAACAACGATTCACGTGTATTTTCAGCATTTACTAGCGTGTATGAGGGAGACATAGATAATTTCCAGTTGTTTAAGTCTGAGAAAAATCGACAATGAGTTATTAGTTTGAAAGATTATTATAAAAGGATGAGACGAACCGACATCTAACGTTCTCAATGATAGTAGCGTAGTATTTCCAATTTCTCTGTCATAACATGTGGATAAACGCAATACATAAGATGTGCTCGGTTTTAAATCTTGCAAATGATATTTCGTTTCCAAACCACGATAGACCTAAAATCAAACAATGTCTAACATTCATTTCTTTTTCTATGGAACTCAGTAGCATCGTTTAATTTTTGTTTGACACCGATATGTTTCTACAAAAGATCGTGGCAAATCTTAGGACTAAATTCTGACTGTTAAAATCTGATACAGCTATGTAGTTCGAGAAAACTATAGAGTACAACCTTCCTTACTTACGAGCTAATTAAAGATTTTTTTCTGATTCTTCATATCAAGTATGTTTTTATCATAAATAACATATAGAACAAGTGATTTGTAGAAAAATAAAAGTTTCACTTCATGAAATACTTCGATATTTATTTAATCCTGTTGCAATGATTTCCCAAAACAAAAAAAAAGGATGAGAATGTAATTTTTATTACAACGAGTTATTTCCATAGGTTATGACTCTCATCTGATCGTAATATGAAAAATTCTAAAAGTGAAAATTGCTTTTCAAGTAATTCTACTCATTTTCACTGTAGTCCTACGAAGAAAAATCAGTTTCATAATATTGTATTCCATCATTCTATCCTATCGAATATTGCAGTTATTTTGTTTGATTGATAATATTTGCACAAAATTTCTTGATGTAATAATCAGTTCGAGTGTTCTATTTTTCTATATAGTTCAAAATTTTTTCATTATTTGTGTCTCTTCTTGCTACACTAAAATTAATTTTCGAATTAATTTTCTCAGATAATAACGATATCAAATTAAATAATTTAATAGAAACTAAATTAAACTTTGAACCTAGATTCAAGTGTAGAAAGATCTGCAACTCCTTGATATAGGTCATCTTTCACTTCAGAAGAAATTCATGATCTATATCTTTCACGTGATCTTCGAAAAAAAAAATTTAACTGAAATCAATATTCTCCTCTTATTTCGGAAAATATAGCATGGACTCAATAGATTCAAATTGGCTTTTTATGGAAAGTAAAGGACGCATACTTCATTGAAATTATTATTGTCTTGTTTAAGTTCTAAAATGTAAGCAGTTATAGATGATTCATAGTCAATTAGTTCCCATTCAACTTCAAGATTAGTTCCACCAACTTTACACTTTTGTTGAACAAATAATGGTGCAGCTATAATAGAAAGTCGATCTTATTTTTTATATATTGAGAAGAAAATAAACACGTACGTATTTCTCCTATAATTCCTGAGGTTTTGATCATTTCGAGAAGGATCTGAATTGAAATATGAAATGGAATCGAATCAGTCAAATGAGCTTGATGATGATATTCAACACTTTCAATTTCAAGTTTTTTCATTTGATCAATAATAGCTTTAGATTGAGACAATGCAGCAAAATCATTGAGAGTTAATATATGTCTTCCTTCTTCTAAACATTTATTTAAACTTGAATTGATATTGCTAAGATCTTCTTGTTTCGAATAAATATGATCGCGAGATGTCTGAAAAAAATTTAATAAATCTTTAGAATATAGAGAAATTTATTATCATACTTGAGACTTTTGTTGTAATTGTGTTTTTAATATTTTTCGTCTAGCTTCTACACATTCTGCAATTCGATTAAATTCCTTGTCAATTTCTTGATTACTTTTCAATTCACTAATGTCAATATCTAATAGAAATATCATAAAAAAAAACGAATCTTCTATAAAAAACCAATTGTTTAATCTTACTTTTAAGTGCTTGTTGTAATTGATTGAATTCATTCGTAAATGTTGTTTTTAATTTTCGAATTTTCTCGAGATATTCATTTACTAAATTTTTTTCTCCATTTGCAACATCTACAACTGATTTTACTTCATCACTATGTTGTTTATGAATATCAACCGATAGACATGCAACACAACAAACATCCTACATGAAAATTAACATTTGATATTTTTTGAATAAATTAGAATTGCATTTACAAAAAGAAATCATTGATGAATTTAGTACTATATAATACAATCTCACTGATGTTTACTAATCAACAATGGTTTCATCATTGTTCTCATATTAAATATCTATTTATGATTTAATCATTTAGTAAAAAAGATAAATTCTAAAGATATTATGGTTGAAATCAAAAAGCGATAGAGACCGAATCTCATTCTGTCAACTTGCTCAAGATTGATTCTCATAGAAAACAGCTGTTGATAATTCTTCGTAAATTAAAGACGATACTTCCATCAACTAATTTCATTGTCATTGAGAGTAACATAGGTACTCTACTTATTGTTTACGTAATATATGTGACTGAATTATGCTGGCATTATAACCACTGCATTCCGAAGACGAAAGCATTATAATCCAATTTCTACTGAATGGGTTTGAATAAATTTTTTTTACACGCTTCTCAGTTCGTATCCTACTTACAGTAAAATTTTTAAATCTTTTGATCTTCGGCGTCATCTGTTTATAAAAGTCATTTTCTTGTCTCAAAATTTTGATTACATGAAAATAATTTTTTATAGTTATTTTGATTCAGAAAAAATGAATAAATTATTCACGATAAACTTAGAATATGAAATTATTTGCGTTATAGAAAAATTTATGCAATTAATACAGATGTAGGATATGTGACTATTTTAGTTCAGTCACGGTCGTGAGCGATGGCAATCACGTCGACTACTAGTCCTGACAGAATCTTTCGATAAGAAAGTTTTCAAGAAACCTTCTTAGTCAAATAAAACACTAAAAGTAAATGGAACAAGTGTCTATTATTTTATTAAATGTTCCGATAGACTTTTGATTTTGTTTCTTTGATTTCTTAGTAACGATATGAGATTAGCAGATGATTTATTAAATCTTTTTTAACTAGTCAGCCGGTAATTTATGATAAAAAATTTCAGCTCTGAAGTGATTACCATCCACGAGTAAACAGTATTTCACTTGAAAAAAGTATCACAGTAGATTAAAATGATAGTTATTTAGAGAAAATAGAAGTTCATTTTACCTTCTTTGACTGTAACGGACTTCTCTCAGATTGACAGGTGTTTTTAGATATACAATGGGGATTTTTGAAACCTTGCATATCCGAAAAGTATGAGGATGGAGTGGAGTATGTGAGAATGTCACTCTCACTTTCACATCCTTAAAATATGCATAAATATGTGTAGGTAGATTTCTGCATACGCTCATCAGTTTCTTCCTTTCAAAATCGTTCTATTGATATCCGATGATAAGATATAAAAATTCATTTGGGAATTTTATCTCGAGAAGTATTCATAAAACTCGATTTCTTTTTGCAAAATTCAAAAATGAACAGTTGGGAAAATATTTGATCTATATACAACTAATGAAGATCTATCGAATGTACGAAACAATTTTTCTTCATATTTACTTTTTATTTTTCTCGATTTTTTTAAAATTTCAAACAATATAACACCAGTGCAATTTATCCATATAATTACTTAGCTTGTATTCATAACTCATTTTTATATTTGTTTCGTATACTTATTTTTACGAAGACTATAGTGAAACATAACTAATCTACTCTAAATTTTCGTTTTTTTCATCTACAAATCTTAACCTATTTTAGATTGTTTTTATTATCGAACTTTAATTCATTTATTTAAATTGATGAGTATTTTCTTACCTTGCAAAATAAACAATATAAACAAAGTGGCATGTGATGAGCTTTACAATTTTGTGGTTTAGTAGTTTCATTGTTGATGATAATGAATTTTTCATCAATAGGAACAATTTTGTGTGACTTCTGTGACTTAAGTGAATGTGCAAAAGTATTATGTTGATCACAAAAATTAGCATCATCTTGAACACAGTACCATGTGGCATTTGTATCGCATTCATTGCACAATTCCGTATGTTGTCTAGAGGTCATTTTAATGTAAAAACAAGTCAATTTTATTAAGAGAAATGTAACGAAAGAAATGCTGATGTTGTAAGATAAGTAAAATGTGTAACAAGTGACACAAAATTTTCTTTTCTTTTCTTGCCCGTAATAGTTTACTCTCTGGTTTTATTTTTCTTATTTTTTATTTTGTGACTCTCAAAGAATCGTTCTGTTGAAGAAATGTGCCCTGGTTTTAGAGAACGAAGAAAATGAATCATAATAAACTACGTATGTCGCACATTTTTTTCGCAGTACCGCTGGTATAGTGCTTACGACTTTCTGTTCCAACTATAAACGATTGTAAAGAATGTTTTCTACTTAAATTCGAATTTATTATTAGAAAGAATTCAAATTCATCCAGAAAAAAAAACAGTTTCAGAATATTTTTTAGCAATAAAAATTTTTGCAGCACCATCTATAATAAAAAATTTATCTCATAACTGAAACCGATTTGAATCCTGTAGCTCGTACAGGCGGCTCAGACGCATCAATGGTATCCGAATACATCGAAATCGACTCAATTCTGTTAGTTTTAACAGATTTCAAAAATATTGACCCGTTTTGATACCATATACCATGATACGTCACTTTCAAAAAAAAACCGGCAATCAACTCTGGAATAGCGCGTATTAGACCGATCGATATACCGATGGTTTTTGTCTGTCTTGAATCATATGGGGAATACATAACGGTATTGAGAAAAGAAGAAGAAGAGACAAGAATTATTGGTATTTTTTCAACTTTTTTTTTTTTGTAAAATATCAGAGAATTCTATTTACATCTATAAACAGAATAAAACAGGTATGATGCGTTTTCCCTTTTGTTTCTCTTCTCACATGTGACAGAGGAAAATTTTTTTCTAAAACAACATTACCATTTCGTTGATCCTGCTTGTGACGGTAAAAGGCATCATATGTGTGTGCATGTCAGTAGAGAAAAAGCAAAGTGTTCTGCTAAATAAATATGATTTTTTTGAACAAGTCTTTCTTTTAATGATACGTTATTCCGTCTAACGGATGATGTAAAAGTTCCTGCACAAATGGCGGTTTATTTTTTATCGGCTAAAATATGTGTTTGCAAACTTGAAAATTCTTATACAAAATCTATGTCGAAAGCTATTTCTAATTGTATATTCAAAGAAGTTCATTCATGGCCTGTCTGTCAGTAAGTAACACATCTTTCAACAGCACTAAAATGTGGTCTGTAAAAGGAAACGAATATTATAGAAGGAACGACGAATCTTTTGATATTTTATATTTTTCTTTCGGTTCATTTCATGAGATAGCGTTTATATTTTCTCTATTAAATTAATTATTAGCTCTATTCTCGACAAACTATGTGGAAAATATTATGAAATTCTTTAAGATAACATTGACAGAATTCATCTTCGAACCTCTAGCCATTTTCAGATTGATGTTGGCATTGTTTTGTTCGATGTTCGATCTTGTCATTTCTAGGCGTTGTCTCAAATATATTCATAATTCTAGTATCTAAGGTTATTCGTAGCCATTATGTCAACTGATTTTTATAAAAAAAAGCATCATTCACATCTTAAAACTTCTATTGGCTCATCATCATTGTTACATTGAGTTTTTCCATCATTTCTAACATCATTGCTTTTCAAATATTCGATCACATCAACTAAACTGATACCGTACTGTTTTCTGTCAGGTTTGTACGGAATTAAAAGGCGCATCTAACCGAAACAGAACAGCAACATACAATGGGTTCTATTGGACAGAATAAAAATTCTAAGAGATTAGTTTTTTTCGTGCCCATTACTTTGATATGTTTTTACGCGTCTAATTTTAGTGCTGTTTAAAGACGTACTCCGTGGTGAAAGACAGTACATGATAGAACTTTTCTAAACATACAGTTAGAACAAGCTTTCGATGTATATTCTATACAAACACTGTCGAGTTCGTCCACATATCCTTTGTCCAATGAAAAATGAATTGACATTTGTGCAGGAACTTTTGCTTCTGTCATTATCAAAAAATGGAAAAAATGAGTAATATCATACCAGGATGCTTATAGGACAACTGAAATAATGAATGATTGATTATGTCAATTCAGACGAAAAAGAAAAAAATCCCAAATAGCTTTATTTATATTAGGCGACTTGGATCACCATTTTACAAGAGTAATGATAATTTCTCACGGGGTACCAAAAGTACTGGCGTCTGTAGTATAACATCTTATAGCAAGCTCGAGGAAGTTTTCTCTCTATGTTTATTGATATCCCTAATACTCGTTCTAAAATTTGACAACATTTCATCATTCTTCAGTTTATATTATCATACTTAGAGATAAGCAAAAATAGTGACGGTTTGACAAAAAATATATATCACAAGCAAAATTATACTTACGCAGAGTTAGTTGTAGTTAGACATGAAAGAGCTGAAGCTTTATAAATTAATTCTTGTTCTCACTATCAGCAGAGAAAAAATGTAATTATTTCATTAAATAAAGCAACAGAATATTTATTTTCACATATTTAATCGTATGATAAGTACATCGATGACTTCTTTTGCAACATGAGAAGTTGAATCTCGAAAACAATTTTACAAACAAGCAAATGAATATCTTAAAACTTTAAATAGCAAATTTTAAGTAAAGACAGTGATCATGTAAGCTATGAATGGAAAAATTCTTCATTGCCTTACGAATAAGTGCTCATCAGATTTCGATTCTCATTTTACACCTTAATATCGCATATCGTTGGTCATACATTGCTGACTAGAGACTTTTCCTATATGATGCAATAACTAATAAACTGATACTAGTATATGAAGCGATGTGTGATGTTTATAATCGCACCCATGTTGAAACAGCTCACACAGGATGCAACAAATTTCTAGATAGTTTATCAATGTATTATAGCTGGTATAATCGATATCTATTGCAGATCTTTATAAAAAAAATTATTCTTCATGTCAAAAAAGAAAATCCATAATAAAACCTATGTTACCAAAACCAATCATTTTATTAGGTAAGACACATTGCTCCTTTATATCATCTTCTTAAGGCTCTCCGCCCTTAAAAATCGATCTCAGGTAAGATACACTGGAATCACATGAAATTTTCAGGATATGTTGGGGCTGTAATGGGGTGTCTATAGTAAAATTTTCAGCTCTATATTATGGCCTGTGAGGGAGATATCCACCAAACAAGGGTCAAAAAAATCTCATTTCGTCTTCAAAAATTTTCTGTGGTCTTCAGTCTATATATTTAATTTTTTCTATTTGCAAGTGCATGTCAGAATGCAGTGCCTATGAGAGCCCTTTTTTAGAAACTCTTATCTTTCAAGCGAAGAAAAGGACTGACAAGTTCAATTACTCGAAAAACCCTAAAAAATGGCGCTCAAATTGTAAAAGTACTTTTCAATATACGACTAACAAAGCTTCATTCAAAAAATGAGCTCTCATAGGCACCGCAGTTTCACACGTTCTTGTAAACAAAATAAAAGATATTCGACTAAATATCATGTTGTTGTGGTAGAGTGCCGCTGGAGATGCATCATCAAATCCACGTTCTGAGAAAAACAAAGAGTGATTTTCGGCTTTTTGTAAAAACAGCTTTTTTTTCGAATAGGGGATGAGAAAAGTCTTTCAAAATTTTTGGACAAAAAGAAGCGCCAAATAAAAAATTTTTTCGCATATGAGAGAGCAGATGAAGGGCTATTTCTCCATGAATTTATCTCAATTTCGATGATTCTGGCGAAAAGTGACTTTTTTGAGGAAGCCTTAAGTTCTTCTTCTGGAATATACTTCACCATCTTGAAACCTCTTGAAGTAGCGATTCTTCCTTTGTTTGATCAATCAAATTATTCTTGATATAATCATTTAGCCAAAAGTCACGTGGCCAAAGATCTAGTGAATATGATGGATGTGTCATTATTTCAATACTTTCTTCTGTTAAATAATGAATAATATTGGGACGTGTATGAGGCCGGTCATTATCATGAAGCAATTTGATATATTTTGTACGTGATGATTTTTCTTGTTTCCGTAATTCATTGATAACAGGCTTGAGACAATTTTCAATACAATAGTTGTGAACCCACGGGTTGAAAGAGCTGATTTATTTACACGAGATAACTAACTGAACTAACTAAACAAATGAACTGACAACGGACGATCTCTCACTCTACAAATACTATCGAAATGTAATATTCTAGAACATGAGATCAGCAAATATTACAGAAAAGAGAAATGAAAAATGTGGAAAGTTTCAAAATATACTCAAACGTTCGACAAGGGTTAGTCAAATATTCACGTAGCCATTATATTATAGACTTTATCTAAAAGAATGCTAGGATTAAATCCAAGATAGAGTCGCTATATGCATTATTATAGACGAGGTATTTCACTATGTATTCATGCAATAAAACCTTCGATACTAAGTGTTTAATAAAATTTAAAATGCCAAGGCCAGAACTTCTGGTATGCCCTAAGTATCGTTTTTTGTATTTCGTTTTTTAAATCGTAATGCAGAGCCTTAATGAGTGCTTATATCTTAATAAACAAACTTGAAATCCATTAGTGAATTAACTCTACGTTTATTTAATTATTTTACACTTAAGGGGGCTCCCTCTAAAACGAAATTTTTTTCGATCATCCAATGATGATGAAATTTCCAGTGGAAGTGTATCTCGAGCTAGATAGCTCACACTAAAAATTTCAGCACGATACATTGAGTCTACGAAGAGTTACCATAAGGCTATGGGTCAAAATTTAGGTGTCCATGCGTCCCAAATTTCTCTACCATTTCGAATGCTAGAAAATTCGGACTGGTTCTAAAATGTAGCCAAGATGTGGCGCTACCGTTTAATAGGACTCAATTTTTCGATTCTTTCCTAGTTTGTGTTTTTAGAAAATTTCTCTGATGAAATATGAAAAAGCCACTATGGAGAGGTCCAGAAAAGTTAGTTTCTTATAAATATTTATGAGGAAATCGAAAAGTCCGACTCTGTTGACTTGTAGAGCTAATTTTTTCCTTCCTGTTGACACCAAGACTAGCTTTCTAGCATTTTAAATAGCGGAGAAATCTGGGACGTACGGAAACATAAAAATCAAAAATCCTATTTTGAGAAAAAACCTTATTTTCTCCTATGGGAGGTTCAGAAAAGCCTGTGAAATATCCTTAAATCTCATCATAAAATCAATAAACTATAGTGTATTCAAAAGTAGACACTTAGCTCTATCTAACGAGCTATAAATAACAAAATCGACAAACTTGACCAAAATTGACATTTTTTGGGGGACTCTTCAGCACAACACGTAATCAGCAGATTATTTCGACACAAGTCGATTGCTGAAAAAGCAAGAGTTGAGATCAGCAGATTGATTTGCATCTTTGATATACAAGTCCGTCTGTTTTTCGACTGAATTACATTCTCACATCTGCACACTATACAAAATAATTAAGTTATTTTCTACTAAAAATACAAAGACTAGTGCATATCAGAATGAACCAATGATGAAACGAAAAATTATATGTACAATTGAAACAATGAATATCATCAATGTTGTTATTATCCGTGTATTAAATATGATTTATTTCAATATCAAACAAATATTTATTCTTGATTCAACGAAAATAACTGACTGAAATACTATCCAATTCAAATCTTGTTTTTTGTTTACTAATATAATCCAATCTAAATCTGGTATTTTTATATCAATTAAAATTAGATCGATCCAAAACGACTGGTATCAAAAAATAACCAAATAAATCAAAAGTATTCAAATTTTAATATATTAATTAACAAATGCCCATAAGTATTCTTTCATTTTTCTGTATTGTCGTGCTTGAAATTGTAGCATAGTCCTGATGGATCTTAATATTTCAATAAAACAACATGAAACATATTAGCAAATTGAACTCTGCATTTCTTTAAATATTTCTAATCAAACCAAACAAATTTATTATTCTATGATTATTTTGCGATTCAACTAAATCGATTACTGAAAAGCAAAAGTTGAGAATAGCAGATTGAACTTGTCTTTTTTTAAAAGCTAAGTCTTTCTGTTTTCGACTCATTCACTCACACACCAAACTATATATTTTATTAAGAAAAGAAAAAGAATTAGTATATTAGTAGAGATAATGTGCGAGAAGAAACTACAATGCAAATCACCCATGGCTACTACGTCGATAGATACGAAAACTAAAAGCAAACTATGTTTAAAGTATACACGAATGAGTAAAAAAAAGGAAACATGTTCAAAGTTCGATTGAGAACGACTAAGCCTAAGTTTGAATACACGTGAACATTTGTATGCGGTTATTGTTTGTGTCGACTACATACAAATTACCTTGATTGTCAAGTCTAACGACAGAGGATGCATTAAATGCGGAGGCACTAATGCCAGCTATTCCAGTTCCAGCAATGGTAGTGCCAACCGTTTGACCAGGTGTAAAAAATTGTATGCGATTATTGTCCCTATCGGCTACATACATATTTCCCGTGGAATCGAATGTTACACCAGTGGGATTGTGTAGTTGTGTTGCTGCATTACCAGAGACTCCAGTAGTACCAGCAAGAACTGTCCCTGTAGTGGCTCCTATAACCCAACGAACAATATTGTGAGCCGCAGTATTAGCGATCACCAGACTATTTGTTGTTGAATCGAAAAAGATACCATTTGGAGTGCTCAACTGATTAGCAGCATTTCCAGCTCCATTACCACCAGCAGCCGTACCAATAGCTCTTGTGATTGGATCGATTTGTGCCACACGTTGAGTGTCCCCCCGATCAGTGACGTAAACTGTGCCCGTGTTGGGATTAAGTGTAATATCGGACGGACTGGCTAATCCTGAAAACATACACATGTTTCAATGAAACACAACAATATTTGATGAAACTTTTCGAATGATTTCTTTCACAAAACATGATTTCTATTTATGAGAGAGTAGTGGCGTATCCTGGATTTTTTTGAGCACTGGACAAAACCCGAGCAGAGATAGATCGTGAACTGAGTTACTATAGGTAATTGTAGAAGCTTATTGGACAATTATTGCTTCTCAATGTTTTCCTTGGGTAATGAACTGCAATTTTAGTAATTTGGCACTACTGACCTATCTTTGCTTGTTTTCAAAATATTCTTTCGGTCTAAAGAGCATGGCAAACAATCGGATATTGTTGCTCCAGGATTGAAAACTTTTTTTCTGGTGTATGAGAGCAATTTTAAGCAGTTTTTTTTGAAAATATTGAAATCTTGCATAAAGAAAGTAGTAATCGAAGATTTTACAAGTACATTTTCAGACATATTTGACTTTCAAAACCAGAATGACTAGTATTTATTATTTAATCCACTGAAAACTTTTAGAAGTAATGTATCTTCTAAAGCTAACGCATAACAATAAGTTCTTTTGTGCATATAAAAATATCTTTAGTTCTGAATCCAAAGTGAATCTTCGCTTTCAAACTATGAACATGTGTTCTATATATATGAATGCACAGGTAATACCACGGAAGACGGCAACTGTCAGAAACAGTTGTTGAAAAATTTGACTAATAAAATTTAGATATGAATCTGAACGACAGAAGAAAAATTTATTCATATCGGAGTAACTGAAAAATTATCTCTCATGTTTACTTCGGGTGTCTCATATGGCGAAGTTTTTTAATGACAATGTAGAAAATTCAATTCTAAAGATTAATAATCTAGAGAATGCAACAGTTTTCATATTTTCTGCTTGCAGACCCAAAAATTCGTTCATTATTTAATGATTCTCTATCGAAAGCAGCAACTGTTTGAAATGTAATCAAAAATTTTGAGCCGAAGAATCGACCATCCAATTGAAGAACATCGGAACTCACGTATTACGTTGCAAATCCAAAAATTATTCCTATCGCATATTTTCATGCAGCATATGGCTACACTCTCTGTTAGTGACTTGCATAGCCATGACTATAGCTTGAGAGATCAGACATTTTTAAAGATAAATAATGAAAATCTACAAGAAAACTGAGTGAAAAGAAAACTTACTTTATGTATATATGTTAGCTAATCAGCGCGCGTTATGTAACAATCGAAGACTGCTGCAGAAGATAGTATTTAAACAGCTCTGTATATAGCACCCGCAAAATATCTGATAAAACATTTGTCGCAGCACATTGTACTCATGAGAAGTTATGATATATAGGTTGATGATATACGATTTCTGGAAAAATGAGACTACTAGTAAAATAATTATTAATGTGTTAGAACTCGATGAAATCGATTCAGGTTTTGTGTGTTTAAAGTTCTATCAACTAGGTACATGTTCATGAGTGAAACAGTCAAAAGTGTTCTAATTCATACGAAACATCAGAGTCGCAGTGTGAATGACATGAAGTTTCAGATTTCATGATATACCAAAATATTCAGATTACAGTTTGTGTCATCAATCAGAGTGCACTAAGGAAGACATTCTTGATAAGATTCGGCTAACAGAACCTTAGAAAGTTTGAGTTCCAGTGTAGCAGATACTTTGGGCGACACTATGAAAGGTTAGTATCTAGAGATGAAGGCTGATGTTTGAATACAGCACTTAAAGTAAACTTTAACAGTCATTTGGTCTAAATGTGAGAACTAAACTTAGGTTCGAAAATATTTGACTCTATGTTCTCATAAAATGCCATACAAGATATCGAACGTCTAGTAAACTGCTGACGACTCAACCTCCATTGTCCACAGATACGTATATTTTAAGGCTTCTTCTAGTAATATTGACCTCTACTACTGGACAATATGTGAGCTTGAAATCAAGAAAACAGTCCGGCTACTTTGATCGTTACATGAAATTATAGGCGCAAGGACTGTACCATAATGGTTTCATTATCCTTTCTTTAAATTAGCATTTCATCTTAGTTCTTCTTTTCGATTTAGCTGGACTTTTTTTCGACTATCTATTTTAGCTAATTCGATTTCAAGAGACTTTTGACGAAAAGTACACTATGTACTCTTTAGCAGGAAAATAATACAAGACAAATTTTTTCTCGATCAGAGAATAGAGGATCATCATTTGATTGAAACCATATGGAAAATCACTACTTGTTTTGATAAATGTCGAAGGAATTCAAAACTTCTAAAACCTAGCTTAGATGCACATTATCCACGTCTAAAATATAGCCTTGAAATCGATTTTTAATCGAAATGACTCTGCAATTTCTGCGTTTCTTCCTCGGTTTTTCATAATACATCGACAATTTTGAAGTTATGCACTATTAACCACGAAAAATACTGCTATCTGTTAGGTTGAAATTGTCGAGATTCTCATTTGAACCTCAAACTGTCTTACCTGTGTTGACTAAGGTAGTGCCATGAACTTCTGCAGGTGGCCAAATTTCAACTCGATTATTACCGGTATCTGCCACATAGATATTACCCCTTGAGTCGATAACGATACCTTCAGGGCCACTGAGCCGACCAAGCTCTGTTCCCCCAGTTCCATCTGCTTGACCAGCTACTGTCGAACCAGTAGTAGCCCCCACCACCCATCTCTGGACTCTGTTATTTCCAGTATCAGCGATATAAAGTATATTGGATGAATCCAAAGTTACATCACCTGGAGAGCGAAGTCGATCGAGTGTAACATTAGCGACACCATTAGCATCACCTGCGACAGTCGTGCCTACTGGGTTCCATTGAAGCGAACAGATGGGAGCTAGAAGAATATACAGAATTTCAATGCAGAAGTCCAGCAACAGAACTGATTAGATGACATATGAGCTTTGTTCAATATGTGAAATACAGTGTGTGTGTTGAATTTTCGATTGATATCTGTTAAGCTGAAAAGATCTTTCAAGCAATACGAGCTCTCTCTTAGGCTACAGATGGCATGTCGTGACATGAAAGCTTTTATTTGCGTTGAAATAGGGACCAGGTGTGTCTCCAATCAATTTCGAGATCATCACAACATAATATGTGTAAATCGATGCAAATTTCAAGAGGATCGAACTCGATAGCACATGGTTGAAACAACCTCAAATTTTTAGGAATAATCGCTTTTTATCACACTAATCTCTACTATGACCATTTGCTAATTTGTCAACTTTCAACATCATGAGAAAAATAAAAGTTCTAAACATAAAAAAACCTGTTCGCGGAACTTACTGAAGATTGACGAAAACCTATATGAATAATTCTAAAACATTTATACCATCTCGAGACATGGATTTCTCTGATAAACTTTGCATAAGATGATCGAACATATCAATTTGGTGTTTCGTACTCCATGAAGATGCGAAAAAATTCATAAATAGACTGCTATACATCGCATTAAAGAGAAAACTCTCGACCGACTACTTCAAAAGTGTTTCTCATGGTATTTAAGTGATTTTTTGATCCATAAGATCTTAGTAAAAATCAACGGCAAAACTAAATGATTGTTGTATCATTACTATAGTGATTAACACGTTGATATGATCAATCAAGAAATTGAGTTGATTGTTGTAAGATCAAAAACAGAAAGAATGATTCATGCTGGTATATTGGTCGGTCTATGAGCTGCCTAATTCAAGTTCGAATAAAAATGGAGAGCTAACTAGATATTATGACTTCGAAAATAAATGAAAAAAAAAAGATTTCTCTGTTGAAACAGCAAAACAAACAAAAGATAAAAATTTTAACCTGGATTGTGATTCTAAAGCCAATTCCAACTATTCACACCTAAGATACTCGAGAAACTACCTGAAATGTTACAGTAAACACTGGCGATCCTACATTGACCACGTGCGATATTAGTAACATAACTGTGACACTAGTTGCATGAATTAGGATGCTAGTAGCATTGCCAGAAATGATGCGATGGTACCAGCATTCCAGGTGATGCTACAAGAATCCCAGATCATGCTACTATCATCCTAGATGATGGTATCTGCATGGAAGACGATGGTACTAGCATCCTAGTTCATGCAACTAGTATGTCAGATGATGCTACTAACATCACAATTACTGCTTGTAACATCTCAGTTATTGTTTGCAGCAACTGAAATGCTAGACCCAGCATGGTTCACAGACCTCTAAGAGCTACATTAGGTAAAACTATTAGAATTTCAAAAAATGTTAACTTGACGCTGACACTTTTGTGTTAATTAACTCTGATGCCAATAATATTGAAGCATCAGCCTTACTCTTTAATGTCAATGCAAAAGCATGAGCATTTCTAAACGATGCTAGGATGACATCCTCACATTGAAGTATTCAACTTGCCAAAACACGTTTTTGTGACGTAAATGATTTTTTATCTCAGCGTCGTCGCGTGAAGGTGTATAGTGTTCTCTGAAAAGCTGTGATTCATGCTCCTCTCTGTGTACACAGTAATGAGAATAGTTTCTATTCGAATTATGCTTCGAATACAAATAAAAATTTTATCTTCTGCTTTGTTTTTACTGCTTTAACAGGGATGTGCTATTCAATTTATAAATTTATAATTTATATAAAATTTATCTTTTGCTTTGTTTTGCTGCTGCGAAAAAGTATGATTATTTTTACAATTTTTTCCTATTTCAACATGGAAGCCGGTTTTTCTATTTTTTCAATTATCTTCGAACTCGAATTAGGTATCTATTTTATTCATAGGAAAGATTTACTTTCTAGAACACATTTTCCGCAAGCTGATCGGTGAGAAAATAATCCAAGAATTAAGGAAAATTCGTGAATGTTGAAAGAGTAAATCTCATTCAACAAGAAGGCAAGATATTGACATGACATTTATGGGCACTGATCAATGCATATTTCGTGTCATCCAAGCAAAAAATTGTATATACCCGAGGAGACGGTTATTATACTTTTCCTTAAAAAAAGCTGAATATTGCTCTTATTTACCATTATGAAGAGAGCATTTATGAGAAAATCGAGAATCACACCAGTATACAAGTTATTGGTCAAAATTTCAATTTTTGATCTTTATATACGTTCGAAAATTTATAGTTCAAAACCATTAAACTCAAATTTTTAACTCATTTGGATATACTGAAGTAGAGTTAGCTAATACAGACTTTTGAGTACGACTAATTTACTATGAAGAAAAGAGTCAAAAATTGTCCAATAAATGTTTATTAAGATTATTCTTTAACAAGTCAGAGAATGTTTTTCTGCAATATATTAAAAGCGAGAGCATCGATAGCTAAAAAAAATCGAGCTATTTCAATTATCACATGCCATATATTTACTGAAGCTTTGTAGTTCGATAAGAGTGAAAAATGTTACAATTTATGAGTCCATAAAAGTTGATATTTAACAGTATATCTGCTATCAATTGATTTTAAATCAAGAAGCACCAAATTGAATTTTTTTATAGATTCTTTTACTTTTCATTCTCTATACAACAGTAAACAAATATTTAAAAAAAAGACGTTTACCTTCGACAGGTAACACAGTTTACATCTCTCACTCTCTCTGATATAGTGATTTTTAAAAGAAATAAAATATTTTTAGCGATTTTCATTGCCATGACATGATTGTAAAGCAACATAAATGGAACATTCGAAATCAATGTCAAAAACTACATTCAATTAAATACATTTTAGAAAAACTTTTTCCTATGAAAAATTATTCTCCGAGAACTATGGGGCTAAACTTTAATCAGACACAGTGATGCGGAGACTACAAGTAAATCTTTTATAGAAAAAACATGTCGCTAAAAATTATCTAACTCGATGTAGTTTTTGATGCTAATTTCGAATATCACATTTATGTTGGTGTGCAATCGTGTCATGACAATAAAAACCGCGAAAAATGTTCTTTTTCTTTTTGAAAAATCATCAAAAATAACAATGTAAGAGAGAGAGATATGAACTCTATTCCCTCTCGAAGATAAACTTCTATATTTCAATATTTTTTTATTGTTGTATAGGCAATGAAAAGTTACACAATGTATAAAAAAATTCAATTTGATGTTTGTTTATTTAAAAAAAAATGGCAGCAGATATACTGTTAAACATCAACTTTTATGGACTCATAAATTATAACCTTTCTCACTCATGTTGAACAACAAAGCTCCAGTAAATATATACTAAGTAATGATTTAAACAACTCATTTTTTTTCAGCTATCAATGTCCTCTCTTTTAGTATATTGCACGAAAATATTCTCTCACTTATTGAACCATAATCTTAATAAACATTTATGGGACGATTTTTTATTCTTTTCTTGATAGTAAGTTAGTAGTACTCAAAAGTCGGTATTGGCTAATTTTATTATAGTACATTCAACTGAGTTAAAAATTTTCGTTTGATGGTTTTAGACGATGATCTTTCGAACGCACATACAAAATCAAGAATTTTAAATTTGATCAGTACTGCGGTACCTTGATTCCCTCATGTATGCTCTCTTAAGAAACTTAATAGTCAAAAATCGAGTTTTTTTTTCGAGAACTTTCATTTATAACATCGTGAAGTCTTACGACTCCTTTCTATACTATTATAAAAATTATTCACAATATATGCTTTGTATGTAAAGCTTAAAATATGTGCATAATCTACTATCAAGTTTGCATTAATCCTTCATTCAAGGATGACGTCTCAGGACATTTTTTTGAGAGAAGTTTTCACCATTGCAGGCTCTTAAAATTTTTAATAACCTACTCTTTTACTCTTTTGATACTCTCTTAATTATTCTTCACTGATCAACTGACAGTTCACTTTTGTTTTATATTTTATTGCTTCTTCTATTGATGCATCATATCTCATTCTACCGAATCTATACCTTGTTTCCCAGATTGTAACAATTTCAGCTCGAGAGAACTAGTCTATAGTTCTTCTAATCTGATTGATTAATTCTATTTGCTTGGCACTTTTTAGATTATGTTGTAATACTTTTTCACAACTGCCAATATCGTCGATATTATTCTGATAAAGTACCTCACAGTACTTTTTTTAAACTAACTCTGTTGTCGATCTGACTGTTATAATATGAGATTGAGAACTAGATTAGTTTCTTGGAGTTGAAACTAGTGAGTCAGATTCATTTCTAGCAACTGAAGTTGGTTAACTATTTCATCAGATCTAAATCTAAACTAATATAAAGCTGTTATGGTTTGATTTCTTTCTAATATCATATCATACGAGATAAAACTAAGCATTCGCCGAAAAAAAGAGCAAAACATAGAGTTGAATCTATTACGATAAAAGATTTAAAGCTTGTATTCTAAAGCCTGTATTTCTTTTCGTTATATTATAATTTCTCTTATTTCTTGGATTGAAGAAAACAAACAATTATTCGATAGAACTAGTTTTTAAAGTTTTTCTTTCTGTTTTTCTTCAACTATTCCAATTGTACTCTCACGCAAAAGTTCATCACATTTTCAAAAAAGAAACAAAAGAAATCACGTGTTTATTTAAATGACAATGTGATTATTATCAGAATGAAATGATTTATTATCAAAAACAAGTGAAATTTGATGTGATCTCTCAAGTGATTAGCTTTAAGTCAAACTATTATCTACTTGCAGAGTTTTTTATGGCATCCTTGCGTAACTTATTCTTCTGATTTCTTTAGTTATAATTATGGATAATAATTTATTCTTATGTTATGTTATGTTATTTATAACAATAAATACAGAGTTATTATTGTCTATAGCAATAACAAAAAAATTATTTGTTTTAAATAATAGGAAAATTTGAAGAACATCTTGAAGGCATCAATGATGACTGCTTTTTCTTTTATGATCATTGTCTAACTTACAAGGGAACCTTCCCAGGTGCCAGAGCGCTTTTCAGTCGGGGTTTT